GCTAGCCCTCACTTTTCTTGTTATGATAGGCGTACCCTAATCCCCATGCCCCTTTGAAGCATTCCCCTGTGATATCCAGCCTGTCACTGGCTACTCACAAGAATACTAGGTTTACTATCCCCAAGGGAACAGCTCACATACCAGCTTGTTTGATTTAACTGAGAATCAGCTCAGCACTGAGATATATTTGTTATCAATGGTTAAGATTTAATAGTAAGGACAATAAAAATAGAAATATTATATATAAAACAAAAGGCATAGCATGCTTTCTAGAAATTAAACTTAACTTAGCAGGTTGACCTTCTGACTAAGGAATTTTACCTCACCCAAAATGTCTTTTGTAGTGTTTCCAACCAGGGCAGGTTAGGATCCTGTTTTCATGAATGAAATCCCACCGACTGATTACTTCCTCAGGTGCAGGATAAAGATGTATCCTTTTGCCTTCTCTTTTATCCCCCAAAATTAATTATTGGATATCGAAGTTGGGATGCCTCCCTTGCACCCCACAAAGTTTATGTCACATCCCCATGCTGACTTTGTATGCAAACAGGGCTTCCATTGTATTGGCTTATAATGCTTAATTTACATTGTGAACTGAGGCAGACAGGTGATATACAATCTTTTGTCTAGTAGGTACTTCTTTGTCAACTTTGCCTTGATTCAGACTATAGGAACATATTTCCTTTATACTGTACATATATAACTTTTTACATCGTATCCGTACAGACATTTCACAAGCATATTTATGATCACTGTGTTTTCTGGCTTTAAATTTAAGATTGTACATGACATCTTTTATGGAAAGCAGTGTGCTAGGTATAGTGAGTTTGGCAGGCCTGTCAAGAATTACTTACTGGTACAGAAGATTGAACCCTTTGCCAGTCAGAACTGAGGAATTCTTAGGGGTCACACACACCTTCTCTTACAATGATTCTGTTTATTTATACTTATCTCTATTGTAGGTGCCTCTAAAGTAAATAAATCATTGTGGAATTCTCATTCCTACATTTCTACTCAGTTTCAGTATATCATGAAAGAGGGCAAGATTTTCTGGTCTATTTAAAATGAGATGTCCATAAAGGTAATATACTGCTTGAAAACTTGCAGTGCTCAGTAAGTTGGTAAAGAAGTTTAAGTATCAATGCCATCACAGCAACTGAACCCTTTTGCATACTTGGCATATATGTAGCAGTTCACATGTTTAGAGAGTGTTTTACAAACATTAACAGTTCATTTCTCCTTTGGATTTTAGATGGAAAGATGGCAGTTCAAAAACAAAAGCTCAGGTGCAGAACAATGTTCTTTTTTTAAATAGAAAATGATCAGGTAAAAATGGCATCTAATGTTTATAGATTTTCAGTAGCTGCACATAAACCTACTCAGAGGCTGCATCTTCACCAGGAAAAAAGGTTTATTGCTAACTCATGTTAGACAGTGGGCATGGCCCTTTCAGGATATTTATCCTATGTAATTGGAAAACATGGTCTAAAACTTCACCACTCAAAACTTTCACAACTGGTCGCTTTTTTTTTTTTTTTTTTTTTTTTTTTTTTTTTTTTTTTTTTTTTTTTAATTTTCTGCAGTTTCGCTCAGTGCAAGTCTCTCTGTACAAAGATTTTTTACAAAGCCTCCATAGCCTATTATTCAAGGGATAAAAGGTTATGGTGATCTCACGTTGGCGGTGTTGCCTAAAGTGGCAAATTCTTTGGTTTTTATTGACCGGCTGGTTACAATGTGGACTCAAGCAACATTAGCTCTGGAGGTACTTTGTCTGGAAATAATCACAAGGTCTGAAATAGCTAAAGAAGTTTTAATTCTTGTACTGACATTGACTTTCCATGAATTGTCTTCTTTGATCTTCACTAGAGTTTGTAGTTTTGATACTGATAGTTTATATACTAACGATCAATTTATCAAACAAAATAAAGTGCACTTTTGTTATTTCCAATACTGCTGAAGTTTAGTTTGACTAAGAGGTAGGTATGATTAAGAGAAAAGGTATTATATTTTGAAGATAGCTTCTTATTAGCAACTTCAAAATCTCCTGGATGTCAAAATGAGCATTCCAGTTCTCTTTAAATAACAACCCTAAAGTCACAAATCTTGACAGCTCAGAATATGATATATCATATAATAGTGGTTCTGTCATGCAGGACATGTCACGAGAGGTGGCAACCAATGACACAATAAAACATAGATGATATGTTAACCCAGAAAGAATAAAGTAGATTGATCTAATAATAATGCAAAGCGCTATATAAAATCTTCACTTTGGAAGTGCTTAACAAACATTAAATAAATAAATAAATAAATAAATGGAGATATCCTATCTCCTAGAACTGGAAGGGACCTTGAAAGGTCATCAAGTCCAGCCCCCTGCCTTCACTAGCAGGACCAAGTACTGATTTTGCCCCAGATCCCTAAGTGGCCCCCTCAAGGATTGAACTCACAACCCTGGGTTTAGCAGGCCAATGCTCAAACCACTGAGCTATCCCTCCCCCCTAAGTCAAACAATACTCTTGTATTATTTCCCATTTTTCAGATGAGGAAACGGACAAAAATATTAATAGTCCAAATGGATACAGTAATCTTCCTTTGCTTGGCTATTTGCCTGAGACAAATAATATTTTATTAGTTTTATCACTATCATGTGCCAGCTGGTAGATTTTCATCAGGCTTTCCAAGGCTCCTTGGAACCAATTTCCAAGGTCCATTAATGGCTATTAGCCAGGATGGGTAAGGAATGGTGTCCCTAGCCTCTGTTTGTCAGAGGGTGGAGATGGATGGCAGGAGAGAGATCACTTGATCATTACTTCCTAGGTTCATTCCCTCTGGGACACCTGGCATTGGCCACTGTTGGAAGATAGGATACTGGGCTGGATGGACCTTTGGTCTTACCCAGTATGGCCATTCTTATGTTCTTCAGATAAGGTGGGTGAACTCAGCCAATGACCCTTCTGAGGTAGATGTATCACGTTTTTTGCCATTTACGCTGGGGCACTAATGCCTTCAATGGGGTAGCACATGTGTAAATAAAGGCAAGGCTTCAATAAATTACGTGTACAGGTGTAACTAGTCGGGACGGTTCTGCTGATGGCAGCTGGGGAAGACCAGTGTCCAGCTCTTCCCTTTCAGTTGTGCCAACTCCGCGGGGCTCGGAGGAGCAGTGACTGTCTCACCCACAGTCCAGGCTGGGACCGACTCACACAGGCCAGGAGCAGATCTGCTGAGTGAGACGCTACTCTTTGTACAGGGCCACTTGTCAAGGGGGACCCAGGCTCCGTGCAGCCGCGAGGACCCACCCGCTTTGCAGGGGCAACGGCGCTGCGGGACCGGGCGCGAGACAGGTGCAGTGTCCCGGCCTAGGCCGTCACCAGGGGTAACAGGGAAGGGGCCGCCCAGCTCCCCCATTGACTGTATGACGCAGGGGGTCTCTCAGCAGGCCCCGCCCCTCCCGCGTACCTGTATGACGCAGGAGGTCTCGAGCAGACACTGTCTCAGGTCCTCCCGCACCCCCGCACAGGCCCGCCCGTCCTCCTCCTTCTCCTCATAGTATTTGGGCATCGTGGCAGCGCTCCCCACACACAGCGTTTGGGCTTCTCACTGCAGCGCCGCCGCCGCCACCGCCTCCCAGTTCGCTCTGCAGGACGCCGCCATCTTGTTGTCCTTTGACCCAGCTGCGGTGCACGCGCAGACACCTCCACCGCTCTTCCCCGCCGGGACAGGAACTACCGTACCCAGCATGCACCGCGACGCAGGGTCACGGGCCGGGTCAGGGGGCGCGCGCCGCGCTACGTTGCCGGAAGCAGCTGGAGTTTGCTGTGGGTGCGCGCGGCCCCGGGAGACCCTCGCGCTGTGTGTGGTTGGGAGGGGCGGGGCTGGAGCGGCAGGTGAGCGGGGCAGGTGCGGGCGGAGTTCTCGGCCCCCGGGCCTTGGGATCCCTGCGGGGTGGGGGCCCCTCCCTTCTACTGCTGCGCGCGCGGCCCTCTCCCCCGCCCCCCATTGGGTCCTCAAAGGAGGCGATCCTCGAGTCGCGCCTCGGAGCCGCCTGTGGGCACGTGCCCCGGGCAGATCGTTGCCGGGGCGGCGGGAGCTGAGGGCGGAACCGTCTCTACCCCAGGGGGCGGGGGAGACCTGCGTTCTCTGCCCTGCTGCGGGGAAGGGACTTGAACCAGGGTCTCCCGCCGGCCAGGGGCTGCCCGGACCCCTGGGCGCGGAGCACTGCGGGGGGTGTGTGTGTGTGTGTGTCTCTGTCTGTGCTGCCGAGGCTGTTCCACTTTGCGGGGGCGCTTAACTAGCCTCGGCCTGAGAGCGACTCTAGCCCAGCGTTAAGGCAGGGCCCAGGGCGCGTCCTGCTGGGACTTACTGGGTCTCCCTCCTCTGAAGCATCAGGGATGGGCCACTGCTGGAGGTGGGACATTAGAGGGGTTGGGTTGGTGTCTGAGGTGGCTCAGCAGTTTTTCTTTCTCATGCTCAGGGTCTAACTATCCCCGTATTTGGGGTCAGGCAGAGAGTTCCCCCAGGTCAGATTGGCAGAGACTTCAGCATTTGGGTTTTTTTGCCTTCCCCTGCAGTGTGTGAGTGTGGGTCACTTGCTCGGATTATCCGGGTATATCTCAGTCACTACCCTGCCATTGCAGGAGCCTCAGGCATTGGTGCACCTCAGACTATGACATTACTGATCTTACAGTGGCATAGCTATACCGTTACAGCTGTGCCACTGTAAAGTCTCCTGTGTAGCCGCTCTGTGCTGGTAGCAGAGAGCTCTCCTCCTGGCATAATTAAGCCACCCCAATGAGCGGTGGTAGCTATGTCAGCAGGAGAGCATCTCCCACCAACGTAGCGCTATCCACACTGGCACTTTTGTCAGTGACATGTATGTTGGTCGGGGGTGTGTGTGTTTTTTTTCCCCCACTCACCTGTCCGACAAAAGTATTACTCACAAAAGTGCTAGTGTAGATATAGCCTTAGTCCCTCCTATTCTCTGCCTGTGACACATCATAGTCTCATCTCCTGTGGGCAGTAATATTTTGGTTGTTGAGTTTAGTGTGTAGGGTTCTGGGTGGTGTTGGTGGCCTGTGATATATAGGCAGTCGAACTAGATTATCTGGTGGTCCTTCAGGCCCTTAAACTATGACTGATATTCAGAGACCCGAGTTCAAAACCGTCTTACATTGACTATTTAATTATTAATACAAAGTGGAACAGCTTCAACAGGACAGCTTGAGAGACCCACCCCAGAATACCCAATAATCAGTTGGCACTCGTCTGAGACATGGGAGACCTGGGTTCTCCCTACCTCAGGCAAAGGGGAATTTTGAAGCCAGGGTTCCCACAGCCTGGGTAAGTGCCCTGCCCACTGGGCTGAAGTTTATAAGGGGAGACACAGTCATCTTGTCTTTATTTTGTTTTGTTTGTTGCAAGAAAGAGCTTAGGTGGGGAGAAGATTCATGGCTTTGAATCCCAAGCAAACAGAGGTGGCTCCCTCTAGCCCAGAATTACATGGCTATGTTTCTTTGAGGAGTGGGGCACACTGAATTTTTATCTGAAATAATTAAAATATAATGCAGTGTAAAATAGAACATCTTTAATAGTAAAAGCATTCAAGGGCAGTTGTTAAACTGTACATTTATACTTAGTGCTTGAAGAGTGCTTTGTTTCCAGAGCAGTGTACAAAGATTGTCACAGCACCCCATGCAGTAGGCAGGTAAGTACACCTCTACCTTGATATAACGCTGTCCTCGGGAGCCAAAAAATCTTACCGTGTTATAGGTGAAACCGCGTTATATCGAACTTGCTTTGATCCACCGGAGTGCGCAGCCCCGCCCCCCGGATCGCTGCTTTACCGCGTTATATCCGAATTGGTGTTATATCAGGTTGCTTTATATCGGGATAGAGGTGTATTTGTGTTATGCGTGGAAAGGGGAGGGCTAGAGAGGTTACATAATTTGTCAAGGGCCACATACTGAGTTAGTAGCAGATTGGAATTTTAATTTATGTGTTATTGGCACCAATCCTGGTGCGCAGGTCTCTAAACTATGCTATTTCAATACACTGTTTTTAGACAGCAGAAAGGTGAATCAATTAACATAAATGGCCACATTTTGAAAGGGGCACACACTCTAGCTTATAGTTTTACATGTAGTCTTGCTGGCACAAGTGGTAGTATTTAGCTAGCTACTTGCCTGATTACCCTTGCAAATTAGATTTATATCTAAATGCCATAATTAACACTGCATAATTTAAAACGCTTCTAATTTTACATCTGTCATTTCTAAGATTATGTAAAATCAATTAGTTTTAACTTTAAAATCTTTCCTTCAGAAAAATGTTGCCGACCACTTCAGTTAGTTCCCCAAACCAGGGCAATGGTGCGTTAAACTCCAGGGATGCAGCGAGACATACAGCGGGTGCAAAACGCTACAAATATCTAAGGAGGCTCCTTCACTTCCGGCAGATGGACTTTGAGTTTGCTGTTTGGCAGATGCTCTACCTGTTCACTTCACCACAGAGAGTTTATAGAAACTTTCATTACCGAAAACAAACAAAGGACCAGTGGGCAAGAGATGATCCTGCTTTCTTGGTATTGCTGAGTATCTGGCTGTGTGGTGAGTGTCTATTTCCATGATCAGCAAAAATGAGGTGGGAAAGAGGAAGAATTGGGCATTAGCCTAAGATTAGGGAGGCCTGGGTTCAAGTCCTTGCTCTGCCACAGACTTTCTGTGTAACCTTGGGCAACTCATTTAGTCTCGCCATGCCTCACTTCCTCGTCTGTAAAATGGGGTAAATAATAGTTCCCAACCTTACACGAGTGTTGTGAGGATAAACATGTTAAAAAGGTTGTGAAGTGCGCAGATACTACAGTGGTGGTGGCCATATAAGTACCTAAGATAGATAAGATCTTTCTCTTTTCAATAAAGTTGCAGGAATGTACCTTCGCAGGGGTTTTTTCAGTACCCTGGGTTTTTGACTGTAGAGGCCCTTAATCAGAATGGAAAAGAAGCTGATGAGCTATCTACACAGTGACCATTTAGAAATTAGAGAACCAGGGTAAACCAAAGGGTCTAGCTGTATCTAGAATCCTCTAAAGAGTCTTCTTTATGTTTGTTGTAATCAAGTCTTGTCTCTGTTCTGTGTTTCAAACTGGGGGGGGTTTCAATAATTGTCATAGCAAAGACACCAGAGGAATGAATGACTATTCTTGGTGGGTTTTTTTTAAATAGTTGAACATTTGGATGATTAGCAAATGGGATGTATTATTGTTATGTGTATTACCATAACACACAGGCACCCAAATTGTAGACATTGTGCTAGTCACTGTGCAAAAACAGAACAAAAAGACAGTCCCTAATGTTGAACCCATTACAGGCAAAGTACCCTTTACACAGGGCTCTGTCCTTGCTCCCCTTCTCATCTACCTCATCTCTGGTCATCTTATCTACAAACACAAATATGCTGGTGGCTCACAGATCTACCTTTCTGTCCAAACTAAAATCTTGGACTGTCTCTCTGACATCCCTCATGGATGTCTAGCTGCCAGCTCAAGCTAAGGGGAGGGATAGCTCAGTGGTTTGAGCATTAGCCTGCTAAACCCAGGGTTGTGAGTTCAATCCTTGAGGGGGCCATTTAGGGATCTGGGGCAAAAATCTGTCAGGGACAGTACTTGGTCCTGCTGTGAAGGCAGGGGACTGGACTCGATGACCTTTCAAGGTCCCTTCCATTTCTATGAGATAGGTATATCTCCATATAATAAGCATGGCTAAAACAGAGCTCCTATTCTGCAAACACTCTCCTCCCCATACCTTCCTACTACCTCCTTTCTTGATCACTGTAGACAACCCCACCATCCTGCCTGTCACTCAGACCTGTAATCCAGACATCATCTTGACTCAGACCTCTCGCTAAGTCATTACATCCAGGCTGTATCTAAGAATAGGCCTTTCTTATCCATCCATACAACTAAAACTGTAACATCCTTCTCTCTGGCCTTGACAAATGCAGTCTTGCCCCACTCCTATCCATTCACAATGCTTCTGCAAAGATCATTTTCCTAGCCTGCGCTTTGACCACATCACCCCTCTTTTTGAATCTCTTCACTGGCTGCCTCTTCGCTATCACATCAAACATAAGGTGCTTGTGTTCACTTTCGAGGCCCTTCATGGTCAGTCCCCAATTTACCTATCGCTTCTCATTCGCTATCAACCTGTGGATGCTCACTTCCTTTCCTGCGATGCCAGCCTCCATTACCCACTACTCCATTGTTAAATTTTCAAACAGCGCCTTCATGCTTTCTCCCATGCTGACCCAGACGCTTGGGAGGAGCGCCCCATAAACATCAGCAAAGGAACGTCATTATCCACCTTCAAAGGCCTTCTCAAAACTCTCCTTTGCTGTGATGCCTACAGAACCCTTGGCAACAATTAGGCTGCTTGTATGCTGAGACCTCTGCCTATCATGCTGTCCAGTATTGTCTCTTTGTTTCCTTGTAGACTCCGTCTGTCTTTATCTATTTGTTGTCTCTTGTCTGATACTTAGATTGTAACCCCTTTGGGGCAGAGACTCACTTTTTGTACTGTATCTAGCACAGTAGGGTCGTGGTCCACAACTAGGACTCCTAGGTGCTTTGATAATACAAATAATACAGTGACCAAAGCCGCAGCGAGACACTGTGAACTTCAGTCATCACCAATCAAAAGAAAATCTTTTGCATGTAAGCTTCAGTTCAGATTGTGTTTTCACTGTTGCCTTTTAAAAGACTATATCCAGTCCATTTTTGACGTGGCACACTACCTGCAGTCATAACAAAGCTGTTACTTCTGACATTCTAATTTTCTTGTGGTTGGATGGGAAATATTTCCTAGATCCATTTGTGTTTCACGGATGTTTTCCCAAAGCCGCCAAAGGAACTCTATATAAGAATGAGGCTTACGTGTGCTGCATTTTCATTCAACTAAAATGGACAGGACATCTGAGTCTTCAGAGCCAGAAAACTATGCACTGTCATGTGGTTTTGTTGTAACTGAAAGCAGTGTGACTTCAGCTCTGCTTGTTGCTCTTACTCTGCACTTCTGCTTAACAAGGTATCGTCTTCATTGTAAGTTTAAAAACGTGAGATTAGTTCAATGGCAGTGGTGCCACACACTGAACCTAAGCCAACCACATTATACACAAGTGGTGTGGTATGCAGCATTTGAATAGAAAAAGGAGCTGCCTTGCAGAAGATCTTAGTGGTGAGGAGGAATAAAGGGGAAAATGTTGAGATTTCAGGAGACCGCCTCCCAAAAGTTAACCTTTGGAATGTCAAAGTTTGAGGAACTGGCATTGTTTGGTGTTACAGCATTTTTCCAGCGAGGAAGGATTAATCTCTTTTTCCTCTTCTCTCTCTCCCCCGCCCCCAGTCTCTACTATAGGATTTGGATTTGTGCTGGACATGGGATTTTTTCAAATGATAAAGCTACTTCTTTGGGTTGTGTTTATAGACTGTGTAGGCGTTGGCCTTCTAATAGCAACTTTAATGTGGTAAGTAAATAATTCCACCTAGAACTAAGTTGGGCATTGCTATAGGGCAGTTGACAGGTCCCTGTTGCTGAGGCAGTGTACTTAAATCTGTACGATATGACTTTGCTCAGAAGAGAGGGTTAAGAGTTTTCATTGGCTGTGAATAGAGCACTATTATTGGGAAAGAGCATTAGAAAATAGTTATTTCGCTTGACCTTTTTCTGCCAAAAAAGGTTAATACTTAGAGGAAATTTGTCACTTGCACCTCTCAGTGCCTATTTTCCTGCTGAGTTCTCCCAGAAGCAGCGACATGTCCCTTTCTCCAGTTCCTATGTGGATGCGCAGCCAGGCGGCTCTGCACACTGCCCCGTCCGCAGGCACTGCCCCTGCAGCTCCCATTGGAGCACTGGAGGGGGCCATTGGAGCACATAGGAACTGGAGCAGGGCCATGCCATGGCTTCCGGGAGCTGCACGGTGCATCCCCTGACCCTGCACCCCCACTGGAGTGCCAGAGTGGGGCCGAGCCGTGTGGTGCAATCCCCAACCCAGCTCCCCGGCTGGAGCGCAGCAAGCTCCGGAGCCGGTTTAAAACGGCTCGGCTCACAGGCCGTAGTTTGCCTACCCCTGAGATATAGTGTTCCAATTCTAAGAATCTTGTCAGGGTAGTGAGGGCCAAGAATCTCCCTGCAGACACAGGAGACTTTTCCAGTACTTGAGGGTAGCACCTGATGGGGCAGGAGTTGAGAATGTCTGATGCTGGTTCCTCTGCAGTATTGGACCTCTGAGGGAAACAGCTGAGAACAGTGGTAGGACTTTTCTCCACTGTTGAGAGACCAATAGCAGAGGCCATCTCTTGCCTTCAGTTGCTTCCTCGAGGCACACGCACAGGAAGGGCTCAATTCTCACACTTGCTCTTTTCTCTGCTGCTTGTGTGGTTCACTTGAAGCAGCAGGGAGGTGGGGGAAAAGGCAGGAAAGCTCTTGTCAAAAATGTAAAGGAAATCAGGGGCACTTTAAAGAACTGATTTCTTATTAGTGAAAACAACATTTTCAAGTAGAGTGACCTTAAAAAAGAGAGAGATTCAATATTTGATTCAAAAATGACTTTGGAAGTTTGTTGATCATATAAGGAATGTTCTGCTCTTATTCCAGGTATATGCCCAAAATGTCTCATCAAATTCTTAGCTCTACTCAGGTTTTAATTAGGCAAAACTTCCATAGACTTCAGTGGAAGTTTGCCTGAGAAAATTAGGCTAAACTATTGATTTGGTCCATAATCTCAAGACCTGAAACCATGTTTGGTCTGCTTTGTTTTTGGGTGCAGCAAGTAATGTAGTACTCATATCAAGTTAGTACCCATATTTTAAGTATTTTGTTGCCTTCTTTGGTGGAGGTGGGGCGTTTATTAAATGAGGTAACCTGTGTGCCGTCTGTCTCTAAAATTGAATGCAACTGAGATTTTTGTAACACAGGAAATGTGAAGATGTGGCTATCCCCAGCCTTTTTGGGAAGTGAGTGGATGGGCAACTGAAAGACAGGGCTTCTTCAGTATCCTATAATTAAAGGAAGCTGCTGTTCTCCTGTGCACAGTGTTTGCACTTTCTACTCAGCATCAAAGAATGTGACTACTGCTGAGAGAGAAATGGGCTAACAAAAGGCTGGTCTGTGCTGTCTTTTTGGGGAAATACTCACCTTTGCTTAGGCTACCATGTTTTATTCACACATTAGGGAAATAATTTTCAGTCATCCGAGGCTGGCAATTATGCAGAGACATTTGAAAGGATTGAACTTATGAATTAAATGGTAAAGACTTGAGGCTTTTTTCCTGTATGTGACTTCATTACTTTAACTATAGGTGGCATGTCAAATCAACATAACTTTAGGAAACATGAAAGTGCCAAATTGTTTCACAACTTATTCCTTTTTAATTTCTTTTCCAATTAGGTTTATTTCTAATAAGTACTTGGTAAAGCGACAGAGCAGAGACTATGATGTGGAATGGGGATATGCCTTTGATGTTCATCTGAATGCTTTCTATCCACTTCTAGTCATTTTGCATTTTATCCAACTGTTTTTCATCAATTGTAAGTAGAACAGCCTTTTTAATGCTTTTTGCCATGGTGCTGGGCCTCAGGCAGGTAATAGAGCAACTGTCTTCTCTTTTACAGATGTTATCTCATCAACCTCATTCATGGGATATTTTGTTGGGAACACAGTATGGCTCATTGCAATTGGTTATTATATCTATGTAACATTTCTAGGGTACAGTGGTAAGTAATTAATAAAAGCTTTTGAAATTAGGCAACTGACTATATGAAAACAACCGAGCCCTGGCCCAGTAAGCTACTTTAATTTATGAATTCATAGGTTTGCAATGATCATCTCAAATGCAGAAGTAGGAGAAGAATTCAATGTTGATTTATTTTTTAAGCTATCCCTCCATGATAGATGTCTTGTAGTCTTCACTGTCTAATGAAGCAATTCCACATGCTCCCTTGGCAGCTTGCTCCATTCTGTTACATTTTTTCTGAACATCACTTTTCCCCTGTTCCCTTCCAAACCCAATACTGTCTCTGTCCTGGGTGGTTGGAGTTAATCATTTGTAATCCTTTGCCAAGAATGCTAGGTACTCCCTTATCTAAATGTCCAAACTGAGTTAAAAAGTTTATACCTAAAGGACTTGTCACTTTATGGGGTGGTATTAAAACACTCTTTGCACAGAAGATATTGATGCTCGCCATTGTGTTGTACTATAATCCAGTTAATATGCTGCGTCAAACCTCAAGACCCTTACATTAGTTCTGGACTCCCAGATTGACTAGAGAGGAGGGTAGTAATGCAACAAAATCTTTGAGCAGGTTGGCTGTACTAATGTATACAGAGCTACCTCAATTACTCCTCTACTCTGATAGAAACTATTCTGTATCTGGGCAAAGGGCTGCAGAATCAGCATGGCAGGGATGATAAACAGGCACCTAGTTTTAACCAAGCTGTTAAGAAATTGATGAAATACTGGCAGCCTCTCCCCAGGGTCCTTCTAGATGTAACAGTTGATGATTTTGGTCCATTAATGCAACTAATTGCTAGTTTTAAATTTTGTACTGATCATAATTGTATTTCTTTTCTAGCATTGCCATTTTTGAAGAACACAGTTATCCTTTTGTATCCATTTGCACTCTTAATTCTGCTGTATGTGCTCTCATTAGCACTGGGATGGAACTTCACCAAGACACTTTGTACTTTCTATGAATTCAGAGTGAAATAAAAACAGGACTTCATATGTCTCTACTGTGTAGTTTGTCTTAGCTGCTGACAGTATGCACATCTAAGACCTCTCGTTGTAAATGGTTGTAAATTTTCTCTTTGTAGATAAGTGTAAAAAGCTTGAAGTGTCTATTGCAATTTTTAATGATTAAAATATTTACAAACAGTAAAAATGTTAGTAATTCTGTATGAATACTTTTGCAGTACATTCCTCAAGACAAACTGCCTGTACATTTTTGTAATAAATCTACCTATGAATAAGTTGAACAGCATAATTCTCACTGCTAATGTCTTTTAATGGGATAAGTACCATATTAAGTTAGTGGAATGAATAGATGGAGGCTAGTTATAAATCACTTTGAAGACAAAGTGCTTGGTTTATTATTGTGTGGTTCTCAGGTTTAATGCTTCTTAAGTTTAGCTACACTAATAATGCCTGATTGCTGCTCAGTCAGATGCTCTAGCTACTCACATGTCAATATTATATGGTCTAAGTTCCTACAGTGCATCAGCCATATCTGCCACTACCAGCAGCTGGAGTCAGCTGAAGCAAGGACTCCTGCATGGGGGCAGGTGGTGAAATTAGGCCCACCCGGATGGACTCAAAGGTACAGCTGAGACCCCCTGTACTGGAGGGATATTAAGACCCATGTAATGCCTCCCCTGCCATACAGCCTTGGGGCAAAAAAATGTAGACAATCAGCATGAGACTTCAGCCCATAGGAGCAAAAGCACCCAACCACAGAGACCACTGGCCATTCAGAACATCCTAGGGTTTTGCATCAACTATTTTTTTCCTATGCTGATTGGCTGTTTGTCCCAACCTCACAGTCTTCACCTCACCTTTATTTTCCATTATCTAGTCCTAAGCAAACCCACCCCTGACATAAATGTTTATTACATTGTTCACTCTGCTTGTGTTCCACCCCTTCACCCTGTGTCTTGTCTATTTAGATTGTAAGCTTTTAGGAGCAGGGACTTTCTACTACCATGTTTGTACAGAGCCTAGCCCCATGGCACTATTGTAATAAGGATGACTAATAACTTTTTCACAAACAAATTCTTGGCCAGCACTGAGGTTTTTGTATATGTCACCCTAGGTGCTGACTTCCCCACTTTCCTGTGGGTGCTCGACATCCCCCCTGGTCCTGCCGCCACTACACCCCTTCCATAAGGTCCCATCTCTTCCCTTGAGTGTGCCACATTCCCGCTCTTTCCCCCTCCCTCCCCCGGAGCGTGCTAACGCTGCCAAACAGCTGTTTGGGGCCAAGCGGTGGGAGGTAGGTGGAGGAACAGGGATGCAGCCTGCTGAGGGGGGAAGGGGAGCTTGGCTGGTGGTGGGTGCAGACCACCCACTAATTTTTCCCCGTGAGTGCTTCACTTCTTAATTGAAGAGCAGTTGCTGTAGTTCAATATAGAAGGCTCTGAGACATGGCATTTAAAGTACCGTATTCAATCCCTATTTAACATGCCTTTTGACAGTTTGGACTCAACACTTTAAAATATTGCTACATTGTTAATGCAACATGTTGGGTCTCTTAGGGACAGAAGTATTCTCTCTCAGCTTATGTAAGAACTACAGAACAGATTTTTTTTTAAGCCTTTATTTCAAATATACACGGATAGCTGTGGCACATAGAAACATTGATGAAAGGCACAGTTGACATGACCCATATCAGGTTTTCAAATATAGCAGCAAGTTTTAAACAAATCTAGCCAATTTATAAAAATCTATTACAGCAGGGGTTGGTTAATGAAAAGATGGGGAAACATGTACAGAATAAGTTTTGCCAGAAAAGAATGTTTCAGGATCTAACAGTACTAGATTCCACAAGGCAAGAGTACAAACTGACAACCCCCCCCCTCAAAAAAACCCTGAAAATGAAGATGGCAATTTTCCAAAAACAGCGCTCAGTATCAAACTCAAGCACCAGGTTTTAATTTCAAAAAGGATATTTTTAAACAGCAAACTAGTTACAATAAGACTTCAATATTTGATTACTAGAATTTGATATTTCTAGAAAAAAAACTACATTTAGCTTAAAATACCAAATCTGCTGGCAGTTCATTTTACAGTAGTGTATCCGCCACTGTTAAGGCTTGAAGAGAATGCACTCCAAGTCACCTATTGAAATCTCAGCAAACACTGAGCAACAAAGAAAAATTTACCATTTCAACAAGTAAAGCACTATACCTTTGATCCTGGGAATTTCTGTTGTGACCTGCTGTACACTGGCACAAAGTGAGAGCTCCTGACCTGCAGGCAGCCACCAATTAACACTTTTTTAAAAAACAACCCTTCCTTACTTCATAGGAACATTTAGCACCAGTGATGATCATCATGTCAGCTACCATTAAAGTCAACAGTAATGATGTTTTGCAATTAGGAGCTTGATCCTGCACCACTAAAATTAATGGGAGTAGGATGACTGCCGGTCATGTAAAGATATCAAAATTTGTCCCCCTGAAACAAAGTTTCATAGTTCTCAACATTAAGCTACCTAGAGTTCTAGCTCAATGCTTACAGTAGAAATCACAAAAAACCCACTCAAGAGAACACTGAAATCAAGAAACATGATACATAATGACAAATTCTTGGTGTCAATATTTACACTAATCAAATTCCATTTCCAAAAACCGCAGCATAGCAGTATGACACCCTTTCAGTATTAAACTGTAATGTTTGTAAATATGAATAAGCATAACCGTGCTTTTAAAAATGAGTACAGTTTTCATTTTAGTCCAATTTCAAAATGGATCCTTGTTAAGAAGAAACCTAAAACTTAAGCAAATACTTGATTTCATGAAACAATGGTCTTGGAATAAATTTGTATTCTCGTTTCCAGAGGAAAGCACAGATCAGAAGCACAAGATGTAAATTAATACTGTACTCCTTTTGGAGCAGATATTTCAAACAAAAAAATCAAGGAATTACTGAAGACATTTTATACTTGCTTATGGAAAAAATGAAGGAAAAAGTACAAAATTGTCTAGTCTTGCCAAAAGACTAAACATGATCCCTCAACATACTCAAAGGTATACGTACTGCATATTATAAGGCAGAAGTACAAAGTCATTCTGCCTTAAATTTAGCCAGTATCTTATCTCAGATTCACAAGGGACCCTAATGATTTTCTAGTCTAAATTTTTAAAAGGCTGAGAAAAGCAGTGATGGGGTGAGAATTCTAATCTGGTCCATAATTACTATACCTGCCTTGAGCTTTGCCAAACCACCATGGCTAGAGGAGAAAAAAAATTACATTTATCCCTATGACTGTAAATAGTTTTCAATTAATGCAAATAAATTAAGTTTAGGACCCTAAAAGAGCAGAAAGCCCTGTAGTAGCTTTTTCAGAGGGGGGATTGTTTTCATTCATGGGGGAATGTTTTGACACGGGGCCAAATCTTGCTTACATCACTCACACAAAAAGTCTTCAGCAGGACTATTCACTTAGTAAGCTAAACAGGATTTAGTTATGAATAGGCCAAATCTTTGCAATTGCTGTGGGCCCCGCTAAAGATCATTGTTTAAAAAAAACAACAACAGCAACAGTATTTTAAGAAAAAGCTTTAATTGGCATCAAATCTGGGGATTTAAACTCAATTTGATCAGAAAATTAAGGTATCTGGAAATGCCAGCTGCTCCAAAAAAAGACCTACATTTCCTTAAGCTATAACATCTTCAGAAGGAACTAATACAACTCAGTCTGAAATAGTTACTATTGTAAAGCTACTACAGGTTTTATTCTCCTATATAGGAGTGTTTAAGGCTGACCTAAAGTTCACTGAAAATGAAAAATGTAGAAAAAAATCCTAAGGATTTAAAAATCTATAGTAAATCCAAGACATTGAGATGAGCTCGTGTGTTAAATACTATCGTTTCTGGCTGACATAATGCACATAAAGTATATCTGGAGTGTCTATTAATCATAAAGCATGGAGGAATGCAATACACAAACTGGCTAATGTCAAGCAATATTTGAAATGCTCTTATTCTGCCATAAATAGGTGGATCTCCAAAAAGGAGAGCAGACCACTTTGGAGTGATTTGTGAATTAGAATTTTTGAGAATTTAGAGTCTAAAACAATGGTATGTAGAGATAATTTTCTTTAAACAATAACAACAACAACAAAAAAAGCGCTACATTTTCTCCACCCCTACCTTCTTCTAATTTAAGGAACAAACTCTCAGGAAATCAACGGAGTTGTACCTTATTACATCAGGTCTGAATTTGATTTTGAATCTACAAAACCTGTCTGCTCCCTAAATGATTTATAATAAATTCACTTCTACTGTTGTGGCACATTCATTTAATAGGAGTGCAATCTATCATAGCATCCCAGGGTATTTCTGGCTCCTGCTAGTAAGATCCAACAAAATAGAATATAAATTAATCCTTTTAAAAAAAATCAGTTTATCAAAAAGGAGGTAATGGATGATAATTGACGAGTTTCAGTTCAATATTTTGACTGCTAGAAAAAAGTTCTTCGAAAAAATATAGGGTAGAGCTAACAAAGAAACAACACAAAAGTGTGATCAGTTTGGGGTGAGTTTCTACACATTTAGAGATGTTAGGCGTTTCTTATATGTTGAATGTTGCTTTAGGAGCACTGTGCTGACAGAATAAACCCATAAGAAGACACTGCTCAGAGGAAAGCCACCTAACAATGGTACTGGTAAATTTATTATAAATCATTTTAACTTCATGGAACGATAAGACAACATTGTTGGCATTGCTTGTTTTGTTCAGAAACAATTTTTAAGTCAGATATATAAGTCATGATATAAAATTTAATAAATAGCTATAATTTAAATTATTGGCATCAGTCGCAGGTAAAATTGGGGGGGAAAATAAACCCAAATAATTTCTCAGATCTATGCTGAGATGTGATGAAAAAACGACTAGATTTTAATGAACTGTTAAATGGCATTACATGTTATGAACAGTGCTGTAGCAGCACAAAGAGCTCACACTGTCTGTCTGGGCTGCTCATCAGTTACACAAGTATTGTTCTTTTCCTTGAAGCACAAAAGGCAGGAAACTGACTTTGGGCTTGATTCTATTCAAGTCAATGGAAGTCTTTCCATTGATTCCCACGGAAGTTGGATAGGACTCACCCTTCAAAAAAAAAAAAAAAAAATCACCCACTACAATGTTTACCTAAGGTAAAC